AAACTCGTTGGTATGAGAAACTGTCTCAGTAAACACGAACATTTTTCACATGATAAAATGTAAAACTAATTTTTAACTTTCTTGTTATGACATGACACTTTATTTACTCGCAAATAAAGTGTAAATATTTACACTTTATTTAGCGTAAATAAATAAAGTGTATTTACGCTGTGGCGTAAATACACTTTATTTATTTACGCTAAATAAAGTGTTAAAAAGCAGTTAAATCAACTGGGCCATAGCTGCACTACAGGTGCAGTTATGGCCTGCACCTGTAGTGAGCAGCAGCCATATTGGATGCTGAACCCTTCTGTGAGCTCCAGAAGGTTTTCTATTCACAATAATATAATTACACACTTTGCTTTATCATAAGTTTTCTAACATACTTATCCAGGTTAATACATTTCAGCAACTATTAAATACTGTTTAACAGATTAAACTTGCAAAATAAAATAAAGACCACATGAGTTCCTGAGTAAAACTATCCTTACATTTAGTTTAATTAAATTTACCCAACATAAAAATAAACTTTGATTACTACGTATTAAATACTGAGATCACAAACAACAAAGTTGTGAGAAACAATTTGGGAAAACTTTATTACAGTTAATTAAACATTATTCAGATGTTGAAGCAATTCTTATTTCCTGAAAATAATTTACATGTTAAACATGTTTATATTTGCCTGAAAATGTTAATCAAACACTAGATGTAGCTTTTTACTCTGTCCTGCAGTTTTCCACTCAAACACTCTCTAAAGTCCTAACAAATATTATTTCTTGAAATGAAACATTTTAAGTTTCCCATCAACGTTTAGATCCTGGAGATGAAAACATCAGGTTTCAGTTTTCAGAATTTTCAGGAGAAAAACAGCAGTAATGAAGAGATCTGTGCAGGGGAGAGGGATCCGGTCCGGTCTGGTTCGGTCCAATGAGAGGAGAGGGATCGGGTCAGGTCAGGTCAGGTCCAATCAGGGGAGAGGGATCCGGTCCAGTCTGGTTCGGTCCAATCAGGGGAGAGGGATCCGGTCCAGTCTGGTCCGGTCCGGTCCAATCAGGGGAGAGGGATCCGGTTCGGTCCAGTCCAGTCTGGTCTTGTCCAATCAGGGGAGAGGGATCCAGTCCAGTCCAATCATGGGAGAGGGGTCCATTCCAGTCTGGTCTTGTCCAATCAGGGGAGAGGGATCCAGTCTGGTCTGGTTCTGTCCAATCAGGGGAGAGGGATCCAGTCTAGTTGGGTCAGGGGAGAGGGATCCAGTCTAGTTGGGTCAGGGGAGAGGGATCAGGTCCAGTCCGGTCCAGTTAAAGTCTGCAAACGATCATACTGAACATTCTGTGGCCCTGCAGCCTCCAGGCTCCGCCCTCCAGCTCTATAAGTCAAACATGGCCTCGAACTCGTCGATCCTCTGCCGTGTGTTTCCTTTGCGGATCTTCTTGTAAGACACGGTTTTGTACTTGGACTGGCTGCTGCTTTTCTTCTCTTCGTCGTCCACGTAAGCCTCTTCCTTCATCTTTGGGGAGTTTGGACCTCCTTCACCTTTGCTTCCTTTGTCTTCTGTAACTTCCTGTTTCCTGTCCTCCACAGGCGGCGGCGTGGCGGCGTCCATCAACCTCTGATGCCTGCAGGAAGCAGGAATATTGTCACTTTCTGTCCATCTGTTGGTGGGTAAATCTGAAGTGAAGCCATGTGACCTGGTGTGTGAGGCTTGTTTAGTTTTTATAGACGGTTTGTGTCACCAGTGTGGAATTTTAATTAGATCTTAATGAATAAAGTCAGGCTTAAAACTTCATTTGGCAGGTCTGTGCTCAGCCAGTCAGTAAACATTATGTAACGCTGCAACAGAAACAAAAGGTGCAGCTTCAGGTTTAAACATTTAAAGTTTAAAGATTTCAAGTTTAAACAGATTACACAGCCAGCGTTCTGGGGGAGATTATCTGACAGTATGTGCCTTCATCATGCTATCATCATGCATTTGCAGAACTTTAGAGCAAATCTAATATCTATGTGAGGACTGGCTCTCCAGCGCCCCCTGGTGTAAACTTCAATCTGATATTTCAATACAATTGTGGCTACTTTTTTCTTTTCTTTTGTAAATTCTTTTGATTTAAACTTTCTTTAAATAAAAGTCATCAACTGGACATGTGTGTAAATGAGTCTAAAATATTTTAATAACTAGCATCATATGAGTGAAGTCAAATTTTTAGTGATATTGCTGTTTTTGATCATGATTACAGTCTGCAGTGAAATCAGGGTAAATGTTTCTAAGCTCATTGTAGCAGCAGTCTGCTATCAGAAGACATTTAAACTCCGTAAATCTCTCTAGAAACGGTTTTCTGGAGTTATTATGTGACTGTGACGCCAGCTGTCAGTTAGACAGAATATTATTAACTTGTAATAACCTTCCGCGGCCACAGGCGTCGCCATTTCACACCGAATGGAAGCTTTAGCAGGATTCAGAGCGAAAGAGATTTAAAGTTTTTACCTTCAGGTGAAACGAGTCTGCAGGTTCAGTCTGCTGCTGGGAAACCCGCTGCTGGATCTGGCAGGAAGTCCCAGTGTTCCCAGTGCTCCCAGTCTTTGTTGCTGCTCGGTGGTGTGGGATAATGTGCCCACAGTGGAGGGTCTGGCTCTCTTTCTACTTTTGAGGTTCAGGATCAGATGGAGTGAAACTTTTAGAGCGATTCGTTTCCTTCGTTTCCAACATTTTCTACATTTGTTCCTTTTCTTTATTTTGTCTCTGCTTCATCTCCAGGTTCGTGACGGTAATCCTCTCTGCTTCCTGTTTTCTTTCTCCTTGGTTATAATTTTCCTCCGCCTCAGAGCAGAATAAAGAGAATCGTTAACAGACACGTTATTGTCCTGCTTCATGTTTCCATCCATGTGCATTATCTGTAAAACCTCCAGCTAGAAGTGAACCAGTTTGGATAAAAATGCACAGATCTAACATTTCAAACTGTTAATCCCTAAAAGATTCAGTCTATATTACATTTTTGAGACCAGATGAAAATAATCTCACACTGTCACACATGATCAGTGTTTGTAAAAAATGATTTCAGGTAAACATCAGCAGCTCTCCAGCTGGGAAACTTCAGCACCACCTCACACTGTCCACAAGATGGCAGTGTTGTATGAGGAAGTCATGACGTCATCACACTTGTTTCCTTCAGGTCAGATCAACAGAATATTCCTCTGATGAATTTCTGAATATTTTAACTGTTATGACTCATCTAGAGCTTCGTTCAGCCATTTTCTGCAGATATTATTATTATTATTATTATTATGAGCTGAAAATTGTACCAAACGTAACTCTTTAGTTTTTCCCATCTGGACCTCCAGGTCTTCAGTCTCGCACAGAACAAACTTTATTGGATCAGTTGGAGTCAGTGGTCGATGAACCTGGTTCTGTTGTGTATTAATGGATATTATTTGGTGTTTGTATTTTTAGGGGGTGACTGAAGTATTCAGCTTCTTTAACCCCGTTAGTCCCAGCGCTCCACTGGTCCCAGCGTTACCAGTTCCAGCTGGTGCAGAATAAAGCAGCATGAGGCTCTGAGATGTGAGATAAAATGCAGCTTTGTGAGGTCAGGTTTTCCTCCTCCAGCTATAAATAGAGCAGAGATCTGGTCTGGGTGTGATCAGCGGAGAGGTGTTGATGGACTCGGAGAGTTTGGAGCCTGAAGCTCAGTCAGATGCTCAGCTGTGAAGCTGAAAGCCTGGAGGATTTTCATGCTCATGTAAATTTCATCAGGAGGCTGATTCTCCTAGATCTCTATCAAACTAACATTTTACTCACATCCACTGAACGGTTTCCTCCTTCTCAGGCAAATATGAGGCGCTGCTCAAAAAAATGAAAAATGCAAGTGACTGTTTCTATGAATATTTATTAAAACAATTAAATTAAAGCAGGAAAATATTCCTTCTGTCAGTAGTTTCACCTCATCATAAGAATATATGCACTAAATGGGTTTCGATAATGGTTTTTAAATTTCACACAGATGCAAAGAAGAATTAAATACTTTAAATAATCTCACTGATAACATTGTGTGCAATGAATATTGAATATTTCAATCCTGAAAATCACTGCTCAGAAAAGACAGCAGATTAAATGAATGCTGTAATACCTCTAGGTGGCCAGTAGGTGGTGACGGTTATTCAGAGCCGCAGAGGAAATCGGACGAAGAAAGCCAGTCCAAGTGACTCCAGTAGGTTGTGTTTTCCAGCCTGGTTCCCGTCCGAAACAAAAAACACCAAACTGTTTTTAGCAGGCAGAGCTGCGACCTCAAAGCTCTCATTCTTCACATCCGAAGACTTTTCTCCGGGCCTTGGTTCCCTGCTGCTCCCTCCAGGCACAGAGGACTTCGTCGTCCTCGGCCTCCGCGGCGGCCCGGGCCCGGATCCTCCGTCTGGTTTGAGCAATGAAAGCCTCGACGTCCTCGTCCTCCTCTTTGTCGCTGGCGTCCCGCCTCCCTGCGGCTTCGCTGCCGTCATACCGTGAGCGATGAGCGAATCTCCGGTGGGGCGAGACGCTGTCCGTCCCGTCCTCGCTGGACCGACCCGCTCGCCTGTGGGACTGTGTGAACCCGTTGCAGGAGTATTCTGCGTCTTCGCCTGACGGATCTTCACCGAACCTCGGCCGATATCTGGAAGTCACGCCGAATGCTTCCTCGTCGTCTTCTTCAGCAAACGAGTGTCTGTGATCAGAGAAGTCAAACTGGGAAGCGGAGGCGTCCAGATCGTCGTAGGGATCCTGAGATGGATCAGCTTCTGCACCTGAGGACAGTTTGCCTGGAGGAGGTCTGACACTTCTCAGCCAGTCGTCAATGCTGGTGTTCCGGTCTTTCTCTATCGCCGGGTTGAGATTCAGGCAGCCGGAAAGACCATAGCTTCTTTTGGGTTTCTCCTTTTTCTTTGTTTCTTCGAGAAACTCTTCCTCTTTCCTCTTCCTGTCCTGCTCCTCATCCTCATCTTCCTTTGGTTTCTTCTTCTTGTACAGCGTGCTGCGTTTGTTGTCTTCCAGGATCTTTTTCTTTTCGTAGGTTTCCCCTTTCTCCCTCATTTCAGATTTGATCTCCTTCTCTATGGCGTTCAGTTTTCCTAGGTTGACCTGGTCTTGGAAGAGGCTGAAGAGAGGAACGCTGGTCGTGGTGATCTTGGTTTTCTTGGAACCCAGAGCGGACCCAATGTCCGACCCCAGAGTGGAGCGTTGCCCACTCAGACCGGACATGCTGCTGCCGCCGGAAAGGACCGACGTTGCTCTGCCGTGACCCTTTGATAGAGTGCTGGAGTAGGATGCCCCACTGACCCAGGAGGCCCGGTCATCCTCTGCAACGCGGCCTGCTAGCATGCTAGGCGCTGCTCCAAAGCTGAGCTCAGATCCAGCACGCAATGGAGGAGGCAGGCTCAGTTCGCTCTGCTTCTGCTTGATCGTTTCAGTCACAACGTTGGCAATCCAGTTCTGAATGCTGGCGAGGTTGACCATGGGTTCACCTCCAGGCCCTGGCACAGCTGGGACTGGGAGGACTGGGGGCAGGGCTTGGCCGGCAGACTGAGTGGATCTTGTACTTCGAGGCTGTGAAACAGAGGACATGGTGGACGACCTGCCACTCAGCATGGACATGTTGTCGTCGTTGGCAACGCTGGGCGGGCCGGTGACCCCGGCTCCTGCCCAGAAGGCAGACAGAGGGATAGTCCCGCCGCTGACGCAGCTTTCTGAATCCCACCCACACATGGACTGACTCTCTTCCAAGGTTTTCTTAGAGCGCTCCAGAATCTCTTCACGTTTCTGCCTCCGTTTGATGGTTGCCGAGTTGTCGCCGCGGCTGAGCTCCAGAATCTCCTCCGTGTTTTCTTCACCGAGGCGTTTCTGTTGCCGTAGCTTCCAGGCCTGGTACGCCGTCAGATTGACATCCTGGAAGGATGGAGTTTTACTCTCCTCCTCTCCATCAGCGGCTGAACTTTTCTCTCCGTCCTCTCGGTCTTTTTTGTTCCAGCCAAACTGGATCCTCTTGATGCGCCAGCGCTCCAAAGGCGTCATCTTCTCCTTATTCTTCTGGCAAAAGTTGTACATGGAGCTGGTATCAGAGAGGATGCTGTCAACCTCAGCATCAATCTTCTTGTTTCCATCCTCCGTCGCTGTGCTCTCGCTACCTTCGTCGTCCTCTGTCTTGCGGTAGCGCGCAGCGGCTTGTTCCTCGATCTCTTTGAGTCGCTGCTTCCAGAGGTCAGAGTAACTGGTGCAGCTGGAGGTGGACATGGCGTCCGAGGAGGGCCTCTTGTTCCTGTGCGTTAGCCTCTCTTTGACAGCTCTGATGTCCTCACTAGTGACGCTCTCCCCGTCGTCTTCCTGCCTCGCCGCCTTGGGACAGCCGGCGCTGACGGAGTCCTCCTCGCCGTGGAGCTGGGCCTCCCACCACTCCTCGCTCTGGTACTTTTCGTTTCTGCGCTGCCATTCGCGGATCATGCCGTCCAGGCCGTCGTCATCATCCTCAGTTCCGTCCTCTGTGCCCGTCTGACCCGGCAAGTCGATCTCCTGGTGACCCAGTTCCTGATCCCCGTTGTGGAGCGGCCCGTTTCGCAGCGCCGCAGCCGCTGCAGAGGAAGCGATGCTGCTCATCATGCTCTCTCCGTCTTCCTCCTCCTCCATCATGATGGACTGCGCCTTCACCTTCACCATGCTCCGCTCTTCCTCCCCATCTGTCTCTTCATCATCATCACCCTTTTCCTCACCGAAGATACATGCGCGGGTGCGAGCGTCGATCACGGAGCACTGGCTGAGCGTTTCATCGTCGTCGTCGCGTTCCTCCATCAGTGTCTCGTTGAACTCTCTCAGCTGCTTCAGGAAGCCTTCGTTGGGGTTGATGGCCCGTTTCTTCCTGATGGTGGTCAGCGCCTCCATGATCGTCATGTTCTGGAAGATCATCAGGTAGGACGCCACCAGAATGGCTGACCGGCTGACGCCCATCATGGACACAACCAGAACTTTTCCTGCAAAACAAACAGATTTTGAGTGAGTCTGGGCTTTTGAGGACAGAAAATCGTTTAGTTGTAGAAAAAGAAAAACAGCCTCTGAAATGTTACGGCCTGCGGAGAATTGGAGGCTGACTTTCCTGAGGGAAAACTCATGAATAACTACAGTGGACATTATCATAATTTTTCCAGGAACTATGATCTGCAGGCTCATAAAACATTCCCAGAAACCAAGTTATAGACATTAAAAATATGCTATTCTGGATCTCTTAGTGCGTCAGTGATAGCTGCTGCTCAGGGACACACAGATAAAACTCTGCTTTCAGCTCAAAGAATGAAACAAGGGCTTTGTGTAAAAGGCTTCAGGGAGAAACAGGATGAATGAAGGAATAGTATTCATCAGTAAACCTCAAAACAACTCAGAAATCCAACAAACCAAACATCTGAGGAGTTTGTTGAAGCACTTCATTCCAGAATAGGGAAATTAAGAGAAGTGATGAAGTTCAAGTCCAACGACGTCAAAGTCTCATTTCATACGGAGTCGAGTTCTGCAAGGAATAGGAGGAAGATGAGGAAGATGAGGCTTCAAACTGCGGGAGAAAGGAAGCAAGTGGTTACTGAGGTAAGCTGCAGGAGCTGATCCCATTGGCCGACAGACCAACCAATGAGAAACAAGGAGGCAGAGAGTCTGCAGGTTCAATGAAGAACGTCCAACAGATCCAACCGGACCAGGAGTCAGGTTCTAGTTCTGGTTCTGGTTCATGTTCTGATCCAGGTTCTAGTTCTGGTCCTGGTCCTGGTCCAGGTCCAGGTCCTGGTTCTGGTCCAGACTGACCTTTGTGTGTGAGCAGAGCCTCGTCCAGGAACTCTGCGGTGGGCCTGAAGTGCTCGGCGATGTCGGCATCGGGGAAGTCGTCCAGCTCGATTCCTCGGTACTGGATGTTCATGTCGGCGTAGAAGGCCTGGCTGGTGTAGACGCCGGTACCGTGGGCCGTGTTCAGGATGTGCGTGATTCCCATCCTCTTCAGACGGGCCTTGTTCACCGCAACGGATCTGAAACGAAAGCACAGTTCTTGGATATTGAAGTGTGAAGCCACTGAAATGACAACACTCTGCACTCACTTCTCAGCGATGTGGATGTTGGGCCAGACTTCGTCCACGGGGTTGGCGGGCGCCTCCAGGCGGTCCTGGACCACGGCCCTCTGGATGTCCAGCACGCAGGGCGTGTTGTAGGGGCTGCGGTCGTCCAGCATGTCCCGGACCCGGTTGTACAGGTCCTCCACCATCAGCTGCTCTGCAGACTCCAGCATGGACTCCGGGACGGATTCGGGGCGGGCAGCGCGGGGCGGCAGCTCTGGGGATGAACGGCCAGTTACCACAAGACAACCGAGGAAGGATGACCTTCAGTTTTTACTTTACATTGTAGAAAACTCAAAAAGTCATTCAGTTTTTAGGTGGAAATGCTGAAACCTGGAGTGAAAAACGAATCACTCCAGTCAGTGACTCAAGCTCCGAACACAACAAGAAGCCCCACAGGAAATGACGTAGGAGGTCAGCCGGGCTGGTCGGTGGCGCTGTAACGCTGCCAGAGAAGGGCAGCGTTGCCTGATTGGCCCGTGGTTAAAATTTACGTTTGTTTTTGTTTTGACGGGTTTTCAGTGATCAGAGGATCAACGTTGGCACATTTTAATAAAATACTGAATTCAGTTTAGACTTTTATTCTGAAATGTCTAGAATCTGTTGATGGTGACATCATCAATGTTTAGTCACTGGTAACCAGGAGGAACTACAGAAATCCCAGAACAAATTTAAAATGACCAAAAACAAACACAGCAAAGCACTATATCCGTACTTTGACTAGGCCGTAGTTGCTTTGTTCTGCTGATGATCCAATTTGGACCAAACCTCAGAGGAAGGTCAACTGAGTCTGCCATGTTCCCCATGCTGCCACCACCAACATGGCAGTTGGCCTTCAACCCCGCATGGAGCTGCAGGCTCAGAGTCAGGTTCTGGTTCTAATCCGGGTTCTGGTTCAGGTTCTGTTCTGATTCGGGCTCTGGATCAACTTCTGGTTTTGATCTGGGTTCTGGATCAGGTTCTGGTTTAGGTTCTGATTCTGATCCAGGTTCTGACGGGTTTTTTTTTTTTGATAAAAAGTTTTTGCGTTAGGATGTGGTAGATTTTTTTTTGTTTATATTGCTAATCTGATCACATGACGAACAGGATGTTGCTATTGGCGGAGAAGACAAAGACAGGAAGTGGCAGGAGGAAATACCGCCATTGTTGTTACTGACTAATCATGTGAACAAACTTATTCACATTAATTAAAGTTCAGCAGTGATAATAAAAGATGTGAATTTGTTGCTTGGTTTCGTCATGAATGGATCTGAACTCTGGATGTTCATCTGTTGAATCTGTTGGGCTGCGTGGTTAGCATGTTAGCGTTAGCCATGCAGCCCAGAGGGAGGGAAAGCTCTCCGGCTGTCATCCTGTTTCTGCAGATGGAACAAGAATCATCCATTAAGCTGCCACCGTGCCGACGGAGCCCATCTGAGAGACCAGCCATTACTGTCACTCTGCTGCTGTGCTAACCGGGTCGCTGCCTCCACCGTCTGCATGATGATGAGCAGAACCGTCTGTCCTCGTCTGACCCTGCAGCTTCACAGCTTCATCAAACTTCAGATTTGCCATAGAAACGCTTCAGAATCGCTATAGAAACACTTTAGAAACATGGTGTTAAATATATGAGAGGAGCTGAGGAGGTTGGGCCCAGCCAGCATACCGAGGTGGGTCCCATATGGGAAAAAAGAGGGCAGACAATATGGGTCCCAAAAGGGTTTGTCCGCAGTTTCGATGGTGGCCCTACAGGTATGCTGGCTGGGGAGCTGGAGGAACAAAACATCCAGCCTACCCTAAGGCCTAGTCAAAGTCCAAACCCATATGTGGACTTTGACTAGGTCGCGTCAGTTCCCTTTCACCTTCGCTGATGATCTTCTTGGCGGCGACAGCCGACGACAGATGGATAGGCTCCATGACAATGGAGGAGGCATCAGAGAACCTGGAGGTCAGAGACGTCATGGAGAAGCTGGAAGAGGAGGAGGAGAAAGAGGAAGTCAGTCTGGGAAAACCAAATCTGGTCCTGAGAGAATCTGAGGTGAATTCATGAAATTCATTAAGTTCAGGAAGAAAAAGATTCAATTTCTCCAGAAAAACATGAAAACTTCAGATTTCTGCAGATGTATTATTGTTATTATTATTATTAGCAATAATAATTAGTACTTATACTACTAATAATTCTTACTATAATATTGTACAATATAATGATATAAAAATGATTATTCTTATTACTAGTACTACTACAAATTATCATTATTATTATTATTATTATTATTATTATTATTATTTATCAATACCCTCATCAACACCTGGACTTCCTGCCGTTACCTAGGAGACGGGCAGCGCAGGTAACGAGCCTGAACTCCTCGCACCTCCTCTTTCTCCTCCTCTTCATCAGGGACCGCCTTGTCGCTGCGCTCCTCGCTTTCATTGGCTGTCTCCATGGCAACCAGGATCCCGCCCTATCAAAACTGACAGGGAAATTATTTGAGGATCTTGATGACGTCATCCGCTCGTTTTCAAATTTAATTTCTTAAGATCACTAAATTATTTAATCTGGCAAACTATAAATAAATTAAATGTCATTTAATTTATTTATATTTATTAACACAGAAAAACAAGATAACAAATACGGAAATATATAAAGCAACAACATTAAAAATGAGGATTATTATAGTTTTAATATTTTTATATGGACAAGAAAATCAAATAAAGTATGTATAAACATAATAAATTAAACAAGTTGCAAACTACAACTGAAAATTTAATTAAAAATTACAAAAATAAAATTACAAATAAATATTAAATACAGTAAAGACATGAAAACAAATAAGAATATGAGAAACCCGGTTCATCCGAACCTCTGGTTCCGATTGGACCGCTGATGGTTCTGTCCCAATTCAGACCGGCCAGAACCAAAACCAGAACCGGTCCGACTGTTTAATCAGAAACAGAACCAGAATCGGTCTCCCTGTTTTTAATAAAAAGTTTTTTGGACCAGAACGAGGACCGTGTTCGGTCCGGGCGGATCCGCTGTTTGTCCTTCCAGAGTTATTTTAAGCTGCTGACAGCTGCAGGCCCGACAGCAGCAGAACCAGGCCTGGAACCAGCAGCTGACTTCAGAACCAGAACCAGAACTAGAGGAACAACAGGTGACGCTTCACCTGGCTACCTGAGTGTGTGTTGGTGTGAGTGTGTGTTTGTGTGTGTGTTAGTGTGAGTGTGTGTTTGCGTGTGTTTCTCACCTGCGGCGGATTGGAGCTGCTCCTCAGGCCGAACCTACCCCCCTCTGACTCTGCGGCCCAAATTAGCCGCGCTACTCTTCCTCCTCCTCCTCTTCCTCAGAAACCCGACACCAGCAGCTGTGTGCCGTCACTTCCTGGTTCCTAGCGCTGATTTCAGGGTTCCTTCCTCCCGGATCTTTTCCTCCTGAGGCCGGAAGTCCTTCCTATGCTACAGAGGAAGCCTTCAAATAATCCAGATTACAGTCCAGATTAGAGTTCAGATTAAAATCACAAACTGGATGTAGAGTTTCTGCTTTAGTTTGGCTTCATGGAAGCAGCTGGAAGAACATAATTTTCATAATAAGTTAGTTTTATTAGTTTTAATGGTAATTTTCATAACTGTTGGTGTCTTCCTGTCTCATGGTTTCCAAGACGACCAGATTATTAATCTGTTCATAAATTTCCTTTCAGAGGTCAGATTATCTTTGTCTTTATTAAGAACAGATTAAATTTTAATCAGTTATTGTCATAAGAAATAATCACCAAGACAGAAAAGTATTTTATTGCCATTCATTTTGGTTTTGTTGAAAAGCATCTAATGAGATTTTTTTAAATGTTAATATCTCTTTAATGATGCATTTAATGCACATAATTTCATCCACTGAAAGTTTAAGTCCCAGTTTTCATCTTCAAAGCAACACTGGTTAATAATAACAGATTAATAATCAATAACAGATTAATAATCAATAACAGATTTTGCTTCTGTTCCATGAAAACATTGATGCTGAGTGAAAATATGGGTTAGGGATTAACTATCATATTAATAATCTGAAACCTGGAAACAAAATAGTTTGGATGGATTTTACACTAAAAAGGCATTTTGATAACTTTTTATAGAATCACTATTTCTATGGATGATGATATCACTCACAAGATTCTGTAAAAACTTTCTTGCTGTAATAAATGCCTTCAAACTGCAGCTGCTGCAAAGACGCATTAGCCACAGCTAAGAGGCTTAGCTGTGGCTAACGCCTCTTAGCCACAGATAGACACATTAGCTGCAGCTGAAGACGCATTAGCCGTAGCTAAAGAGGCGTAGCTGCAGACAAAGACGCGTTAGCCGCAGCTAAAGAGGCATTAGCCCTATCTAAAGACGCATTACCCGCAGATAGTCATTAAGCGCAGCTAAAGAGACGTTAGCCATAGCTAAAGACGCGTTAGCCGCAGCTAAAGGCACGTTAGCTTCATCACGAGGCTGCACTGGGTTCACCAGCAGTCGATCAGCATTTTCTACGTGAGGAATCGTTCTCATGCAGTGACTGATTGTTTAAGGATTATTCTCCACAAAGAGTCGCCATGGCAACGGACAGAAATCTCAGATATTATTCTACTAAAAATAAGTTGCTGCAACTAACCTGACAGACGTAGTTGTTGAAAGTGAGAGGCAAACAGAGGCATGGAGGTGAGAATGAGCAGACTTTATTTACTCTGATGGAAAAGCACTTTGAGCCGACGACAAATCTGTAACAACACTGCTCTACAGAGGAGGTGAAAGGTCAACAGAAACCCTGAAAACAGACACAGAACTGCTTCCAGGTCCACAAATCAACGTTTTGTCATTATCACAAGAAATAAAAGTCCTTTTCTCCAGGATCAGACTCAGGTACAGTTCATTTAGACTTTAGGATACTTTCAGTTCATTTGATCCAGGTCAAGACGATTGTCTGAACATTTTTAATTGTTGATCACTACTATTGCATTGGCACCGAAAGTCACCATTCAACTTACAATCAATACATTTCTACAATTCAATAAAATCAAAAACAAATCCAAGAGTTTTTATTGCCTCAAACTGAAAGATGTTTCAGTCACAAACTACGAGACATTTCTCTGCCACGAAACGACACACTTCCCGTTACGACCAGCTTCCCGTAACGACCGGCTTCCTGTAACAACCGGCTTCCCGTAACGACCGGCTTCCTGTAACAACCGGCTTCCCGTAACGACCGGCTTACCGTAACGACCAGCTTCCCGTTACAAACTGCAGGTGTTCGCCTATCAGATGCCAACACAGGAAACGAAGTGGTATGAAACAACACTGAGAGACCAAAGGCACAACGAGAGATGAGGACGACCACAGAGACAAAACACGGAGACGGCATGACAGAGTCCCACAGTCAGACTCCCCTGGTCATTCACTGGGCTCACATCAAACACCAAAAGGTCACGGGGTCATCTACGAGGTTGTGCTTACAGTTTTGAACCAACTGGAGGAATGTTAGTGGATCTGCTTTTGTGCATGAAGGAACATTTGGCACAATTTTTTAAAATAGTGGGAGCAAATGCTAAAAATACTGCAGCTCTGAACTGAGAAACAGAAAAAACGTCAACCAGGTCTGGACTGCAACACATTGACCGGACCAACAGGTCTGCAGTGGGGAGAGCTAACATCAACAGCTGAGAAGGCTAGCTAACAGCTGAGAAGGCTAGCTAACAGCCGAGGAGGCTAGCTAACATCAACAGCTGAGAAGGCTAGCTAACAGCCACGGAGACCAGCTAACAGCCGAGGAGGTTGGTATCAGCCGAGGAGGCTAGCTAACAGCTCAGGAGGCTAGCTAACAGCCGCGGAGGCTAGCTAACAGCCGCGGAGGCCGGCTAACAGCCAAGGAGGTTGACTAACAGCCGAGGAGGCTGACTAACAGCTAAGGAGGCTAGCTTTAGAGCCTTTCTGGAGGTTTATGTCTCTGTTAAAATATTAAAGCTCAACATGAATTATGGCTTCCTTCTGTTATGATTTATCAGGAAGGACAACAAAAAACAAAGAAAATACGGAAGGACATAAGGGACAAAAGGGAAAGAATAGCAAATTAACACTGAAAATGGAAACATTTTCCATAATTATTCTTTCTTTTCCCTAACAATTCCAGACTTTCCGGACTGCAGGAACCTGGCGGCAGAGCGAACCAGGAAGTAAAACAGATGAAGTCCCGCCCCCATGTTCCTCCCATTTCCTGCCAGACATTGTTAATGGAATCTACCTGAGATTAGTCATGGAGCGCTAAACATGCTATGCTAACAGAGTCACACAGAGCTGCAGTGGTTTCTTAGAAAAATAGACGTGTGCTGTGTTTAAAGAGGCAGCTAGCTTTACACTGCATAAGAACAAAGACACACAGGTTTGACTACAACTACTAATAATTCAGTTCAATCATCGTTCTGGGAAAACTGGGCATCATGTGCTGATTTTTAGTGGTTTTATGGAATCTGCTGGTATTAAAAATGATAATGACATAAATGGACTTTATAGGCCCACTTAGATTCCTCTCATGTTCTGGGTAATCACAGATTTACATCCCTGCACATAGATAATTAAGGAGTGAGTGCTTCTGAAGAGTGAAGTGGGAATAAAATGAGGTTTTATCAGAACGAAGTGCGAGTGAAACTACGGGAAATAAACCCAGGAGGTTTTGGACATAGAGAACTAGAATCCTCTCCGACCAGCGCCACCACTTCCTGTTTCCTGAGAAAGACAAAGCTTGAAATCCTGAAGTATCCTGGCCCATTTCAAATGGACTACAGTACCCAGAGTTCATGGCAATGTAGTCCACACTCCTGACCAGTAGGTGGCGTTAATGCTTCCTATAGTTAAAGCCAACTGCCATTAAAACAAAGAAGAAGAGTTCAGGAAGTCCAGCTCCTCCTGGGAGGAGTGACCAGAACCAGAACCAGTTCAATGTCGTTATAAACTTATAGTTGGATTAAACATGAATGCATCAATAATTGTGTTTATCACACCCACAGTAAACATGGATGCCAACAGTTTCCAACGCAGTCGGAGCTGTCGCTAACAGCGTTAGCAAAAACAGAGTGGAGCAGAAGGTCGGATCAGAAGGTCGGATCAGAACGACGGATCAGAACGGGTCTCCGGTCCTCTCGCTGGTGTCTTCTGGGCTGAAGGGCAGCAGCGGGTCAGCGGCATCGCTCCTGTCATCGCCGTCGTCCTCCGTTGCACTCTTCCGGGCCTGGTACTCGGCCAGCCTCTTGCTCTTCTTCTCCTCCTCCTCTTGCTTGGCAGCATCTGGACCCGGTGGCAGCAGGAAGTCCTGGCAGTACGGCGCCGGCAGACATGGCACCAAGTGGACCTCGCCGCTGTCCCTCATCAGCTGGACGCAGGTGTAGAAGTCCTGGACCGGAGCGCGGGCCGGATCTGGAGTGGAGACGGAGGCGTCGGGAACGCCGAGGCGCTCCATCGTGCTGTAGTCTGACCCGGGAACGAACACCGTCTCGGGCTGTTGCCATGGAGACGGCGTGTCCTGCAGCGCAGTGAAGGGCTCGGCTGGCACGGCGCAGTACGGCGGAGCGCTGCGGATGTACGACGACGGGTTCTGGATGGGAAACAGGTTCTGGATGGCGACCGACATTCCTCTGTCTCTGTCCAAGATGCTTGGTGGGACGCTGCAGTCCCGCGGCGCGCTCAGGTAGATCCCGTCAGCGCTCACCTGGTCCCACACCTCCACCGAGTAACTGGGAGGCCGGTAACCATGGAAGTTACTGAAGTGACGGTTGATTTCATCAAAGTTCCCCTTCTGGAGAAAGACAAAAGAAGGAAGGGACAGGGTCAAATCTAGCAGACAAAGCAGAATAACTACTTTTCCCAGGATGCATCACCTTCAGAAGCAGAGGGTCAATGCCGATGATCCGTGGCTTGGGAATGGGCGGCAGGAAGTAGTCTTTTATTCTGGAGGGACAAAGCAGAATATGGAGTCGTCTTCTCTCCAGAGTGGGAACAGGAAGGTGGCACCCTCTCTGGCAGCACCTTGGCATTACAGCTAATGGTTTCCTCACCTCCTGCTCTGAGGAATCACCCCGAAGGCGATGACCAGCAGAGCCACGGCTCCGACTCCCACCACCAGAACCAGAACCAGGACTTTACCTGCACAGGAGAACATTAACTCACTTCAGATTTAGAAATGGCTTCATCAGACTCAGGCTGTCGCCATGGAAACCCCGAGTCATACCTGCAGCCAGGCTGTTGGGGATGCTCACGAGCAGCGCGGCACTCCATTTGCTCCACAGCCGGGAGTTGTGGGAGCGGCAGCGGACCCGAACTATGTAGTCGTCGGGTCGCAGGCCAAGCAGCTCCACATGCGGCTCACGCAGGTGATGCTTCACCTGTGGACAGAAATGCCGCCAGTCAGCCGGTTCACTGGAACCACCAGCCTTCAGGACTTTCATTGTAAACATGGATCCTAAACCCAAGTTACCAGCCAGTCACTCCATCATCACCAGTCAGTTCAGTAAACCCAAAGTAACTCAAACTGATCATCCTCTTCAGAAGCACCATGAAGCAGACCCAACCGTCCAGAGTTGGGGGCTGTTGGGTTTAAAGAGGGAGAAACGGAGACCTGCAGAGTTGGCTGCGTACCTGCCAGTTGTCGGTCTCGCCGATGCGTCGGTACTGCAGCTCATACAGCAGAGTGATCCAGCCATAGCGCAGGACCTCAGGAGCCGGGTACGTCCAGGACAGCAGCACGCTGTGGCCCGCCTCGTCGCCGCCGGCGTCCCTCAGGGAGAAGGTCAGGTTGACCGGAGCCTCTGGCTCCACTGGAAGACAGAGGAGAGGACAGAGGAGAGGACATGAGGAGAGGACATGAGGAGAGGCCTGGAGGACCAAAACACCTGGTGTCAGGTAGACCATGAGCCAACTGAACCAATGGAACCAACACAGCGTTGTTATCCACTTGTGGCAGGTAACACGGCTCTGCCTCCATCAGAAGCCTAACGTCAGATTCAGGTCGGTGATTGGTCTCAGACACAGGAACCGGCCCGATACTCATTAGACCAGATTTACTGGGTTAACCTTTTTTAGTTCCCCTGGTTTTCCTCCTGCCAGGCTTTTCTCTCCCTGCATCTTTTGACTCCAAGTAACAAGTTTTGGCTTATTTTGTGAAATTGCCATTGAACTTCAACAGAACTGAAGTTGTCTATTTATCCTGGAGCTTGTTTGGCATCGCTTACTGACTCTTCATATTCTGTGATGATCTGTTTTTATGCTCCATCTGAGTCCAGACGTAAACTCAGAGGTCAGGCTGATGGTGGGAGGCGGTACATTTACTGGACGAGCTCCAACATGAGGAGACGTGACCTTTCTGGGGCCGCCTGATAAGAAACGTCTGAGACAAGCTCAGAGATCACCATGGAAACCGCATGGCAGCTGCACGGCAGCGCTGATAAACCTCACAGATGACCTGTCGCTGGTCCAGTAAGTAGACCAATCCCAACGACAGCAGGTTGTTGGTTCTGATAGAGAGACGAGCATGACGACGATGATGAAGAATTTAACAGAACCAAATAAGAAAAGTTCAGGACGAAACCAGAAGAATTAAAACTGATTTCTCCCACATCCAGTGACAACAATAATAATAATAATAATCACTATCATTATTGATAATAACACATCCAACACAATTCTGCTGCAGTAATAACTTTCTGCTTCAGGTCAAAGTTGATTGGCACAACATAAAGGGTCAAAGGTCATCCAAGGAGCTGATCAGGTCTGATAGCTGCTGGATTAGCATGGATTAGGTCTGCAGATTAAAACTGTTTCACACAAACTTCAGACTGAAGGAAAGCGGCTGTAAAACGATGGATTATAATCTGGAAATATAATCCTGGATTAAAATAAACAGCAACAGCATGAAAAACTATAATGCTCACTGGTTTAATCCAGTCTAATTCAGTCAGAGTCTGGCCTTTATTGGTTATAATCCAGTCTAATCCAGTCAAAATCTGGCCTTTATTTGTTATAATCCAGTCAGAATCTGGCCTTTATTGGTTATAATCCAGTCAGAATCTGGCCTTTATTGGTTATAATCCAGTCTAATCCAGTCAGAATCTGGCCTTTATTGGTTATAATCCAGTCTAATCCAGTCAGCCTGGCCCTTACTGGTTATAATCCAGTCTAATACAGTCAGCCTGCTCCTTATTAGCTATAATCCAGTGCAATCCGGCACTCACCAATCTCTGCCACGTCCAGGCAGTGCTGCTGGGATGTGTAGTTCCTGTGGGGCGTCATGGCCGTCACCGTCATGCAGTAGTACATCCAGATGGACGTGTGGCTCTTGTCGAAGTAGCAGCTGTGGAGACCGCCGGACATGTAATCTGGACACTCGAGTTCAGGTTCCATACTGAAAGGCAGAGAAAGACAGGGTCAGTCCAGATAATCTCTGGATAAGGTCAAATTCCCTGAAGGTAAAGATGCAGGCAGCAGATTAAAAGATTACATTTAATCCCACGGAGACAAGCAGCTGATTCTTTAACATGATCTGTGACAGAAGATAAATTCCTGCAGTTTTACAGCCAACTCAGCATAAACCTCAGACTTCAGATCACAGGTTGATATAGCTTCATTATTTAGTCCAGAACAACACGGACAATCTGATATTTACAACCTGCACAAGTCAACAGGGATAAGAGGCCAAAACAACCCAAAATAATCCATAATCTATCAGGAACCCGACCAGCAAGACAGAGAAACAAACTGGAAAAGGAACCAAAGCTAGAAAAATACTAAAATACTAAAAACTGACCAAAAATCATGAGAGAAACTAGAAACCGGAAGACAGAAAAATGACCAAAAAGTGGACTAAACCGGTAACCAGGAACTAAACCGGTAACCATACGCTAAACCGGTAACCAAGGACTAAACCAGTAGCCATGAACTAAACTGGTAACCAAGAACTAAACAGGTAACTGTTAATTAAACCGGTAACCAATCACTAAACCAGTAACTAAACCGCTAACCAAGGACTAAATCGGTAACCATGGACTAAGCTGGTAGCCATGAACTAAACTGGTAACCAATAACTAAACAGGTAACTGTTAATCAAACTGGTAACCAATCACTAAACCAGTAACCGGTAACTAAACCACTAACCAAGGACTAAACCAATAACTAATGACTAAACCGGTAACCGTGGACTAAGCCGGTAACCATGAACTAAACCGGTAATAATACGCTAAATCGGTAACCATTCATTCAACCGGTAACTAAACCGCTAACCAAGGACTAAACCGGTAACCGCGACTCGGACATCAGCAGGTTCCCGCCCTGATGGGACCTGTCGGGTTTCTAATGGACAGAACCAGAACCTTCTTGAGGCTGGAAGCAGCTGAACTGCAGCATTGATTCATCTGCATGTCGATCAGTTTCTGAACAACTAATTTGCTCATTTTCAGCAGATAATCCCAGATTTTAATCTGTGGAGACGCAGCAGCAGCAGAACCACAACAATCAGAGTCTGAGCGGCCGCGCCATCTGGGGTTGAGGTGTGATCCAATCTGTCCTGATTAGCGGCGGCCAGCTGGCAGCCAGCCCGCCGGGCCCATGTGAGACCGGCCCGGTTCCACATATCGACCCTTAAAAGCTTCAGAGCAGAGCAGGCGGCTTAACGCTCACATGACCCGGAAACCTGGCAGGTCGGCTGCAGAGCAACACGGTGCTCCACTAGCGCCACCTTCAGTCCAACGACAGAACTATAGACTCACTCTTTGGAGTAGGTGAGGATGTAGGCGGCCTGCTGGCCAGATGTCAGGTTGTCCACTGGATGCCACCAGCAGGTGAAGTCCTCCATGTTGGGGGAGCGACAGTAGTAGATCTCAGGCCTGGAGGCCACAGGGGCCCCAGGGTCTGCTGGAGGAACACAGGCCCACGTTAAACACACAAACACTGAAAAACAATGAAAATGTTCAGCATAACACTGTAAAAATACTGAAAATAGTTTTCAATTCTGCTCAGTTTTCATAAACAACCGAACTTAACCGATCTGATAAACTCTGGAAAAATGAGCCAAACTTGGTTCAAAAGCAGAAACTAAAACATTTTGATATTTAAAAATGGCAACAAAACAATAAATCAAAAAAGAAATAAATGAAAAAAAAATCTCAAAACTTTCCCAATCTTCCCCTAACCAAGCACTGGCCATCAAGCCGGTCTGTCTCAGCAGAACGTCTTCTGGGTCCATACATTCGTCAGGATGTCAGATTTCTCTGCCTAACCCTGACCTTTAATCCCGACTCTTAACCCTGACCTTTAACCCTGAACACAGTACGCCGTGTATTTTCAGCCTGTTCTGCAGATGAAGCAGCGACTGAAAGCTCGTCACAGATTATTGATTTAATATCGATCGGGTGAAAGCGCCGCCCCTCCGCCTCCATTCACAGGAAACAAGAGCAGTTAAATTTCTTCAGAGCAGGAGAAAACGAGCGGCGGCGCTCCGCGGCGCTGCTTTAATGTGAATCGTTAGAGAACAGAGAATCCTTCATGAACCGATCGATCGGTACAGAAATACTGCAGCCAGACAGGCTTTATGGATATATTACATGTTTTAACAAAGGATTAGACACAAAACAAATAGGCATGTTTCAGAAATCACTTTAAAATTTCTAAATAAATATAAACATTTGTAAATTATAAATATTTTAACTCTATAGACATTTCAAAACTTTAAATACAGCGAATGTGATTGAACTGTACATAAATAACTATGATAGGTCAGAAAATATTCAAATCTGATGATAAAAACTTTCAACCAAACTTCAACTGTCAAAAATAAAAATCGAGTCGGATCTGAAAACTTTGTTTCTGCAATAAGTTTCTATTTGAACCCAAACAAGCAGCAGATGCTTTCATTATTATTCCTCCGTTATTTTATCTGAGTTTGTTTAAAACGTTACAATTCCAGGCACAGAAACGTTCAACCTGTGGCTGCAGGAGAGCGAGCCGCGCTGCTGATAACAGCGGCTCATTCTGAGTCAGCAGCCAAACGGTCGCTAACGCCCAGCGGCGCAGCAGCAGAAATCAATTAGCAGCAGTCACGGCTCCCCGCTGCGCTTCCACTAAATCCATTTCTAATTTAATCAGTTCCCACCTCAAACACACCGAGAGCCAGGAATGAATTTAAATCAGAGCAGGACAGATTCAACCGCTTCAAATAAACAGGGAAGCTTTTTAAAATGCACTTTAATTTTCAAATTAAATCTGAGCCATAATTGAAAGATACAAACGTATAATTAAAAAACATTTACTCTAACCTTTTTCAATCACACTTTAAATCTAGCCGTTTATATTTTGTATCAAAGTCAAACAATGAGAAACGATGAGGAAACATCCAAACAGCGGAGCGCGACAGGAACGATTCAGCTTTTATTTGGTTCTTCCACAACTTCCTTTACAACCAACAAATCAGAATTATGCATAAATTCAGTTTGGGAAAAAATGGGCTCTTTGCAACTCAGCTTCCGCGTTCGGGGTAAAGCGGCTCGATTGTTTCCGATCCAATACAAATATCA